GCAGCCAATGCCTTTCGGTGGCCAGGAGCTGAACCAAGGCCTGTTCCCTTTACGTCACTCGTACCAGACCCAAAATTTACTTACCTCCCGAGTTCTGGCCCAGGGCTCTGAGCCCAATTCTGAGAATGCTAATGACAGTGAGTGAAGCCTTTGGGGAGAGGATTCCATATGAGGAAAGAGATATTTGGGGGGACAAATCTAGCCACAGCTGGTTTCCTTCCTTTTAATGACACTACCTTTATTTTCCATAGCCATAATCCTACACAACCTGAATCCTCATAGCACCATGGACTCAATCCTAGGGGCTCTGGCGCCCTATGCTTTACTGTCCTCTTCCAATGTCCGAGTCATCAAAGATAAACAGACACAGCTGAATCGAGGCTTTGCCTTCATCCAGTTATCCACCATCATGGTGAGAGTGGCACAGGGGGAGGCCAGGCCTGATGACGATAGGCCTTGGCCTCCCGGGGTGGTGGGCCTTCCTTCAATCCTTCTCCTTTTTTTGTTCCATTCCATCATGCTTAGTGTAAGATTTTCCTTTAGACCTCACCCTTCTTTTCATCCTTCTCTGAAGGAGGCTGCTCAGCTTCTTCAGATTCTTCAGGCTGTGCAACCCCCCCTCACTATTGATGGCAAGATAATTACTGTGGAATTTGCCAAAAGTTCCAAGAGGTAAGAGCCATCATTTTTTTCCCATCCATTCTATCTCTCACAGCCTCTGTTTTATGCATCCCCTTTCTCTCTTTTCAGAGACATATCCTCCAGTGATGGAAACCGTACCAATGCTGCTTCTGTGGCCAGTACAGCAATTGCTGCTGCCCAGTGGGCCATCTCACAGGTATAAGCCCTGAACCTTCTGTGCCTCCCCACCAACAGAGGCTCATCCCCTTCCCATCTCCAGGTAGATCCCTTGGCCTCCGAGAATGTTACCATATACCTGAATGACCCTATTTGCCTGATGACATCAAAGTCTTTCTCTGTCATGAGTGATATTCTTGGCATACATCTTTGTTTATTTGTTTGTTTAAATGATAGCTGTTATATGAACAGTCTTCACAATTTTTTTCCATCCATATATATGACTGAGGTTGAGCTAGTTTGTTCTGTCCCTGGGGTGTATCCAAGAGTTACTTTGGAGGTAATAGGTACAGCAGAAAAAAATGTAGATCTTGCTTAAAATTCTGTTTCTGTCACTATGCAATCCTGGACAAATGATTTCTCCTCTTAGTGATTTAGTTTCCTTCTAAGAGGCTTTCTGTGATATTTGCAAGCCTTAAAACTATATATTTATAAGAAATTATTATATGGAATTTTTGCTTCATCTTCTGTCTTCCTTTGATTTTGTGATATCTGGTGGTCCCTAGGAAATTTCCTATCTTCCTTGGCTGTTCCTGGGACCTAGTCTTTGCCTTTTGCCTTTTTATTTTCCTTTTCTTTCCTCCCTTTCTTTCTCTGAGCCTTTCTTTCCCACTTTTTCCCTCCCTTCTCTTTTCACTTTTTAATATTAATTTATTTTCTTGGTTAATTCTAAATTGATATTAATAGTTGTTGGACCATTTTTTCATGTATCTGAATTCCTGCCACTCACCTGGCAACTTTTTCATCATTGTCAATTTATTGAAATCATAGAGATGTTTTGATTTTCATTTTTCTTAGTGATTTGGGGTATTTTTCATATGATTATTAATAATTTGCAAATTATCTTTTAAAAGTTGTTGTTTTATAACCTTTAGTCATTTATCTTTAGGGAATGGGTTCTAGTAACATTTTTATATCCATTCCCTAATGATGTTTTGAAACAACTTTTTTCATTTTACAGTTTCTCTTAATCTTTAACATTAAAAATTATGAACTTAACAAATGTCAACTAATGAACATTTTAATATGCAAAAAAATTAAAAGAGGATTGTATTTGAAGCCTTTTTAATGTATATTAAATTTAAAACTATGGTATTCAAGACTGTCCAAGGTGGCGCAGCTAGTAAATCTCTGAAGCTAGGTTTGAATTCAAGGCTTCTTCTATCTGGCCTACCGATGTATATACTTCACCACTTGGCAGCTCCTAAAGAGTACGTTGTAGCTATGTCTATTATGTGTCTTTGGAAGGAATGAAGGTCTGGGCTTGGAGTCAAGAAGACCAGAGTTCAGATCTGGTCTCGGAACACTGGCTGTGTAATCTTTGACAAGTCACTTAAACCTGTTCGCCTTAGTTTCTTCATCTGTAAAATTAGCTGGAGAAGGCAATCACAAAGGATTCCAAAATCTGTGCCAAGAAAATCCCAAATAGGATCACAGAGTCAAACACATCTGAAATGACTGAGTAGCAACAAAAATTCCATGTCTTTGATTAAGGTGTTTTAGGATTTCTGTATGTATTTTGAATAGAATTTCTCTTAGTGTCATTTCTTTCAGATTTTTGTTAATATTGTATAGAAAAGTCTGATGAATTTTGTGCATTAACTATCCTGATACCTTACCGAAACTAATAGAGATAACATAATGTAGAGAATACTGTATTGGACCTGAAATCAGGAATTTGTGAGTTCAAATAGAGATAATTTTGGCATTTTCTTACTGGTCTACTCTTTTTCCTTTTTCTAAATTTTGAGTTCCAAATTCTTTCCCTGTTGCCCAACCAGTGAAAAAGGCAAGTAATATTATATTAGTTATACCTGCAAAACATATTTCTATTTTTGCTTACTGTTTATAAAAAGGGATCACTTTTCAGGTATGTATTTATACCTTTATGCTAATTATTTTTTTCCCACAATTTCACAGACATCCCAGGGTGGGGAAGGAAACTGGATGGCTTCAGAGGAGTCAGTGACTGACTACAGCTACTATCAGCATGATGAGGACTATTGGGGCCCAAGAAGTGAAGCTACTCTCTATGGCCATAGCAGCTACCTTAAAAGTACCAAGACTGTGGGTGTAGCAGGTAGCAAAGGGGACCTGGCCGGAATAGGTGAGCAATTCTTGTGAAACTACACTTTTGGGGTGGGGAAGAAGTATAGTCTTAGCTCTGACCCATCTGATCTTCTCCCTCAGGCTCTGAGAGTTCCTTGGAGCCTGGCATACCTGGTATAGACTCCATGCCACTCATCCACACCTTCCACCATGCCCAGTCTACTGTCTGTCAGCAGTCAGGTACTGAGGTGGGCAGTACCCAGGGCACAGTGACCAATACCCAGGTGAGATAGTGTCAAGGGAAGGGAATAGAGGCGTTTCACTTGAAGGGACATAGCACATTCCTGTCTGTTTTCCCCTCCCTAGGCCCAGTCATACACAATTATGTCACCTCCCATTTTGAAGGCAGAGCTTCTGAGCTCAACTCAGCTTAACTCTGCATCATCAGCTGCCACTAGCCCCTCTGTTCAGGATTCCTGTGGCCTGTACCGTGAGTTCCAGTGGGGGTTGGGATATAGTCTCTGTTATACAACCATTTAGTTAATTTAAATATTTATTTATTAAGTGATTTACTACCTAGGGTATATCATTTTCCTTTACCTTCTTATGTAGATCTAAGGTCTATTAGAGAAAGGATCATGGAACTGTTCTTTGCTTCCTTTTTCTATAGCTATCCCTGATGTTTCCACCTACCAATACGATGAGACTTCAGGCTACTATTATGATCCTCAGACTGGACTCTACTATGATGCCACCTCTCAGGTGAGGACTTCGATTGATTCTGGTACTTTATCTGGTTATATTGTTCTGGCCTGGAACTCAGTCTGAACCCACATTTTGCTTTCTCTTTTCTTTCCATATTCATAGTATTATTACAATGCCCAAAGTCAGCAATATCTTTACTGGGATGGAGAACAATGCACATATGTCCCTGCTCTGGAGCAGGTAGCTGATGGGCAAAAGGACACAGGGATCATCTTGAAGAAGGGCAAAGAGAAGAAGGAAAAGCATAAGACCAAGACAGCACAACAGGTGAATTCCCTCCATTACAGTATTAAGAATGAATAGATGGAAAACTCATTGTGAAAATGAATGAAAAGAAACAAATGAAAACAAGAATTAACAGTAACAGATAGGAGAACTAATGAATAAATTAATGCGCATAATTGATGAATAGTTTGCTAATTGGTAGTGCCTGTGAAAGGCAGTGTGATAAAATTGCTAGAGAACCAGGAAGAATCTCACACATATTTGACCTTAGGCAGGGCAAATTAGAACCTTTTGCTGGAGACCTCAGAGAAGGTACAGGCCTACATTGTTTTATCAGTGAAATCACAGGTCCTTGTCTTATTCCATATCCTTATCAATTTTAATATTATTTTCCTCAATAGAATGAAACGTCCTGAAGGTTTGATTTGCCTTTGTTTTTCTAGTGTCTAGCACTATGCCTGCTTCTTAATAAGTGGTTAATAAATGATTATTAATTATAAATGAAAGCATAGATAGATGGACAGACAAATTGATGAATAGAAAAGATTAGTCCTCTGTATTTGAAATGGTACCTGGCACAGAGCAGACACTTAATAAATGTTTGTTAATAAACAGACTGACAAGTAAATTGAGCAAATAGGTGTTTTAGCCTAAGACTTTGGAGTTATGCAGTATTCATGGCTTGACAGCTTGTCCACTATTTCCTCTCTATCAGATTGCTAAGGACATGGAACGTTGGGCCCGCAGCCTCAATAAGCAGAAGGAAAACTTTAAAAATAGATTCCAGCCAATTAGTGCTCTGCGATTGGATAAACAGCATGAATCAGCTACAGCTGATGCTAGTTGTGCCATCCTTGAGAAGAAGGTGCCATTTCCTCTCTTTTTCTGCCAATTTGACTTCTAAAATCTCCTGTGACTGTTTCATTATTCTCATAACTTTCCCTCTTTACTTCTATTTGTGGCCTAAGAATAAACTGTGTTTCTTACTTGTTTTATTAGGGGGCACTGACTGAGAGGCATGCCACCATGGACCTCCCAAAACTTACCAGGGATGGGCGGGTGAGTTCCTGGTTTTTTTATGGCTCAATATTCAGCAGTTTGATTTATTCATTTTTTATTTGCAATTGTCTGTTGATGTTGTTCTTGTTCTGTAGAATCCACCACGAGGACTAGTGGCTGCATACAGTGGGGAAAGTGACGGTGAGGAGGAACTTGAGCGGAATACTGAAAGGGAAGAGAGGCTCACAGACTGGCAGAAACTGGCTTGCCTTCTTTGCCGACGCCAGTTCACTAGCAAGGAGGCATTAATCCGCCATCAGCAATTTTCTGGACTACACAAGGTATGGAAGATGAGAAATCTAAGATGAATGGTAACAGATAGATCTGAGACAAAGTTACATTATGAACCCATGCCATCATATTCCTCTTTTCCTAGCAAAACTTAGAGATTCATCGATGTGCCCACCTGTCTGAAAATGAACTTGAGGCACTGAAGAAGAATGACATGGAGGTTCTATCTGTATTTCTTTTCCATCTTTATTCCCTCTCTTTGCTTTTATGTCCATTGTTAACTTTTCCTCTCTTATCTGCAGATGAAATATCGAGACCGAGCGGCAGAACGCCGAGGAAAGTGTGGCATTCCTAAGCCTCCAAAGCCCAAAAAGAGAAAATTTGGAACCATGGTTGCCACTTCTTTGTAGGTGCTGGGGTTGGAATTGGGGCTGGATAAGATGGATTCAAGGTTCAGGCACTCATCTTTTTTTTTTTCTTTTCTTTTCTTCCTTTCCTTCTCTATCCTCTGTTGCAGGGGTCTTGCACAGTCAGCTCAGGATGGACTGAGTAGCAACAACATTGGTAGTCGCATGCTACAAGCCATGGGATGGAAAGAAGGCAGTGGACTAGGCCGTAAAAAACAAGGCATCATCACCCCCATTGAGGTGAGGGCTTCTTTTTATATCTTGCCTTTTTTCTCTCTGTCTTCTTTGTGTTGTTACTAGTGGGCCTTGGACCTTCTGACTCTGGGCATTTCTCTTCAGTATCTTTTTTTGTCTATCTCCTCAGGCCCAGACAAGGGTGAGAGGCTCTGGCCTAGGTTCTCAGGGCAGCTCATACAGCATCACCTCATCTGAATCATACAAGGGAACTCTGCACAAGACCATGCTGACCCGCTTCAGTGAGGCAGAGTGAGCCCCACCTAGCATCTCCCCAACCTGTTTGTTTTGGAACAACCATGGGACTGCCTTGGTGTGGGGAGCAAATGGTAGAAGATGGCAAGGAAAGATTTGGACTCTGCTTTTGTTAACTATTCCACCCCCCTCCCCCTGTTTACACACCAGGAGGCCCCCCCCCCAGCCACATTTTACTTTGCATCTTTTGTTGGGAAGTTATGCTCTCCCATTTCCTGTGTGTACTGTTAATGTTCTAATAAAACCACAAAAGTCATGAATGATCTCTGGGCTTCTGAGGTTGGTTGGATCAGAGGATGACCTGGCTATAATAATACCCTAATTGTCATTTAACAGAAGTGCTGGTTCATCGCTTCCTTATGGACTTTGAATATGCATCAGGTTACCCAGAAAAGCTATAGGAGAGAGCCTGGGCCTTCAGCTCTTAGAGCCTTTGGCTTTATTTCCAACTGTATTGCACCAGGATCTGTTTCAGTTTATAATGGTAATGGTAACAGGATCTGTTTATAATGATAATGCTTACCATTATATCCTTTGGGAAAGATTGGGATGTGAGAATGCTTGGTAGTGCTATCCCTCATCAGCTTCCCTGGTAGATAGATACTTAAGTTTAAACTTACCTTGCCCCTATTTTCTCAGGCTTTTTATTTGTCCCTAATCAGAATTGTGGTTCCCTAGACACTACATGAAGTTGAAATCTTGTCTCCTGTATGTAGCTTTATCACTTCCCAATTTGTTTGGCCCAATTTGCTGCACTCTTTTCTTACATGTCTGTCACTGTCCCTGTGAATTTGCCTGTGACCACAATGGTGCCTTCTCACAACAGGCCAGGTGAAATTGGGATTCTTGTTCCCGTGTTCATTAGATTGAGCCAGGAGATCCTTTCTCATAAACCATATTTTCTCTTGACTGACTAAAATCATACTGATAGCAGTCAGTTAGACTTACATGACTCTAACAGTTATACTTAGTTTAAATATGTAAGAAACTCCAAAGCAAGGAAAGTGTTCCTTCTATCCCCTTAAATTAGAATTCTGCCCTACAATTCCTTAAAAGTTCATAAATTCATATCTCTTGGAAGGAATGGTAGCAGCCTACTGTCTGGAGCAGAGTACACCACAGATTCGTAGGGAACTGAGTTGTTCTTGTGTCTTGAAAATGCCTGTGGAAAGTAAGGAGGGAAAAGGAAAGGAATGGCGTAAGGACCTGGAACATAAAGAGAAGATCCAGACCAGGGTTAGGGTTAGAAACAGACTTAGAATTAATTAAGGTTAAGGTTAGCTTGCACTGTCCCATCGTTCTACCCCAACATCACGTGGAATGGTATTTATGGGAAACTTGGAACAAGGAAAAGATCAAAATATGTTAAAATACAAAACAGTCATTACTCATTTCGTTCCTTAAGCACTTTCCTAAGTACTAAAAAATTTCTGCTGATCATCAGCGTAACCTTACATGCAAAAGAATGTTCTTTTGCCATTGGTCATATAACCCTAATCAGTTCAGGTCAGTTGGAAGACAAAGATTTCATTTGGACCATAATTACTACTGGTTATTACCATTTCCATGTAGTTCATTTCCATAAGAAAGGCTTTATTAGTTTTGCTTTTGTTCACTTTCCAAAAGGGAATCATTAGTGTGTGAATCTGTTAATTCCTTCTTCCAGGCTTACTTGCCGAATTGGGACTTCTACTGAACAATTGTATGAAGATCCTGTTTCTGGCCTCTTTTACTGCCACCAATAAATAGACAAATAAGAAAAGAAAGACAATAAACATAAATTTTTTTAAAAAGTTTTTATCTTCAGGATATTTGGAGCCCTCAGAGAGCTTATATTCTAATGGGAAAAAAACAACACCAAAATGTGATTTTAAAAGGGTGGGTTTGAGAAGAAGATAAAGGTAACAGCTTAAAGGCATAGTACTGAAATCTCAGAAAATCAGAAGCACAAGTAGGTGGGATCAGTCAGTAAAAAAACACTTATTAAGCCCCTACTCCAGGCAAAAGGAAAAGAGGATGTCAGAGATTGAGATGGTTAGTGTCTAGAAATAACACACAGGAACAAACTTCAGCAGAGAGTGGGAGATAGAAAGGCCTGGTATTCTATCGTCAGTGACTGAACAACTGATCTTACTCTTGAAGCCAGGAAATCTACAAGACGGAGATGAGAGGGACAGAATTGCAATTCACTAGGATACTTACGTTTTGTTTATGGCTTAACTCTCTTATCTCCACTCATGCTTTCCACTTGAATTTAAGACAAAATCACTCTCTTTTCAAGAAAAAAAATCCAAACGTGGCCTGTAGTAAAGATCCCCTAAAGTCATTCCATAGAGAGTTGCCACAATTTG